GGGTTTGGCAACCGCACAACTTTAAATTTGTTGGCCACCCCTTTCTCCTTTCTCCTTTCTCCTGGTCTTTGTTTGTCCCGCTCAATAAAGCATCTTTGACGTATGGTTTACGCTGCCACAGCTCCTCAAAAGCCCCTTTCCAGAACCTATAAAAATATGAGCGGAAGCTTTGGGGCTCAGCCGCAACCTCAAGTCCAGAGTTGTCCCTTGAACCGCACTGGGAAATAAATCTATTTAAAATCAGAGAAATCGTTTTAGGATTAGGAAGGAAGAGATTTAAAAATAAGATGATTTGCAAGCTTGCCAAACTCAAAATATAAGAAATAGTTTATTACTGAATTTTATCTTTAGTTTTTCTTCATTCAAAACAGAATCTGGCATATTTTAATGCAGGTTTTAGGAGGTTTTAAGTATCAAAAAAATGTAATTAAATGAAATTCGGTTTTAACGGAGGAAAACAAACATTTTTTCGAGTGCAGCTTTGTCTTGCCTCTCCGTCAGAGCAACTGACATCCCCTCTTTCTCGCACTCCATCCCAGCAACTGTCTTTTACACTGTTTATTGATGCTTTTGTTGTAGTTTTCTGCTGCTGCTGCTGTCGCAGACATTTGCTGACGTCTATTATGCCTTTTTATAGAAAATTTCTTGGGCTCTCGAACAGCAACAACTTTCTGGGCAAAGCTCCGCAAAGGAAAAAGGGTGTCGGGGGAATACTGGTCCTAGTTTACAACATTGTCTTGCGGTTGCTGCAAGCAAAATGGTTTTATGCAAAAATTTTCCATTCCATTTTTTTTTTTTGGGTCTATTTTCGGTGAACTGTTTAAAAGTTTCGAATGGAAAATTTCCGCCTTGGCGAGAAAAGGGTACTGCAATGGGCTATGATCAATCAGCAACTTAATATAAGCTTAGTTACAGAATTTGTCCAACTTAAATTACTCCCCAAACTTTATTTTGGATACATTAGATTTAGTTATATACCAATTATTTGAAAGATATTCTATTCTTTTAGTAATTTTAAACAGATAGAACATTTATTGGAATCTTATGGAATTTTTGTGGTGTATCTGAATATCTCTATTTATAAGATACATCAATCTCTTTTTCAGTCTGTAATAAAGGAGGCAATTAGACAAGCTAATACCCGAAGGTATCCCAGACTGAAACCGAAATACAACCGAATTCTGCCGCTCTCCACACACCTGACTTCCGCTCCAAAGGATGCAGGACTTGGCTCCCATTTTCCCTCGGCCACAAACTGCAGTCGGGGGAGGGGCAAACTGCTATTATGGCCCACGATAAAAAGTAAATGGCAGAGGAAGGAAGGAAAAGGGACTGCAAAGGGGTGAAATAAAAAATCGGAAGCCGAAAGCGAGCGCATAAAAATTGCATTAAAATTGCCACGCGGACATCCGCAATGGAGCCCGAACTCCATTTCGGGGGTGGATTTACCAGGGATCGGTGGCCACCAGGTCGTCCACGGAATGCCGGCGGAAATGCAAAAGTAGACGGAAATGCAAGTTGTGCAAGAAACTCGGCATCGAGTTCTGGTCGGCGCAAAATTAAATGTTTCCGGAAAGGGTGCCGAAATACAAGCCATCGTCAGCCGAAAATGGAGCTTCAAACAATTTTATTGTCATTCGCCGGACGCCATTTTGACAGTTTATTGCATACACTTTGGCTTGGCTCCGTCTCCCCAAATGACCCCCAAAGCCATTTCTGCCCCAATCCCCGTTCCACTTCCCTCCAGTTTCCAGTCCGTGTCTAATTTGGCACATCATTTAGCGGCAGCAAATCCAAGAACATCCTGACTTGGTCACTTGTCACCTCGACGCCTGACATCCATTAATCAATCAAGTGCGTTTCTTTCGGCGGCATATTTTAGTGACTTTGGTCGGAGGACCCTCGAGTTCACACGAACACTGAAGCAATTAGCGACGACGGGCTTATGCGCTTCTTTGAAGTGTTTTCTGTTAATGAGAGACAACTTTTGGCTTTGGCCCGACTTCCTGGTGGTTTTTTAGTAAGTATTTCCACAGAGGAGGCGTTGAGCGGGGAGGAAATCCGGTAATAATCGATGCAGAAATGATTAATGTTGTGCGTAGTTTTATAATAAGGTTATCTTAATCTGTGTAAATTAAAGTTATATAATTAAACATTTAATATTTCCCTCAACACTTTAAATCAAACTAATAAAATGCAGTGGGAGGCAGACTTAGGTGTTTGCTGAAAACTAAGCTTCGGGTGATATTTCCAACCCCACCTTTAGCCCACAAAGTAGTTGCAAAGCCCGCCCCCCTTTGAACCGAGCTCCGCACGCCTCTGACCCGAGTTGCCTCATCAACTCCCGCTTCATTAGCCGCACACTCGAAAGGCCAATGCCAAGAGGTGAAAACAAAAAAGCCATACTCACGTACATATTCGGGAAGAAGCTGCTATTGCTTGCAGACAATAAACCAGCGGGGGAAAAAAGAAGCACTGGGAGCTGGCTGAGCAGGTCAAAGTTACACAAAAGGAAAAACTTGAAAGGAGGCAGTAATAGCAACAAAAACCACAACAAGGAGCGACAGGAACTGCTGCTTCTGGTTTTTCCACCCAAAGCCGACCTCATCGCAGTCCTCATAGTTGTTGTTGCCTGTCCTGTTCCAGCCTGTGGCTGATTGATCTCGTGGGAAATTTTGCACAGTTGATGCAACCAACAGCAGCAGGGACAAAGGAACGAAAAAAAAGTAAAACAAAAAGAAAAAACAAAAAAAATGGAGAAAAAACACAAAATACCTAAAATAAAACGTAAGTTTTCCCCCCAATTGCCGCATCTTTTGTTTCAGCTCTTCCGTTTTGTTTTTCATCATTTATTCTTTCGCCGGCGCACACGAAAATTAACTTAATGTCACTTACACTTTAGTGCTTTGGGTTAATTTGGTTAGATTATTGTTAATATCCTTTGGGGTGCTCTGAACCAGAGTGTTACTGCGAGAGCGTGTGCAAGTCCTGGCCAAGGACTTTTTCCCCGAGCCGCGGGGCCCATTAAGCGCTTAGACAGTTCTAAAATTTTGCTCATAAAAATGATGCATAGGCTTCCTTCGAAAGTTTTCAAATTGTTTTTGGCAGGAGATTTAACACAAACGTTAATATATCCCTGACAAAGTTGAAAATAAGTAAGGATTGAAATATGTTACTTAATTTTATTTTTCAAGATTTGTTTGTAAAATTATATAATTTCAAAGATCACTTTCACTTTTTACTTTCACTTGTACTTTTACTATTTAAAGCGAAAACACCCAAGTAGATTTGGCAATGTGGCAAATAAATTTAAACAATATTCATCGGCTTTTAGGCACGTGTGAGCGCTAAAAACTTTCCGTGGGAAAGATTTCCCCCATATTCATAAGTCAATTGAAATTTATGACATGACACATGCCGTCCCACGGCGCAAATACTTTGTTTATCTCTGGAAAAATTTTTATATGAGGGGTCTAAGCACCCACCCTAGGATCCATCCACCCTTGGCATAATAATTTACAAAGCATTTTCCGCTTCGCTTCGCCTGCCATCTGCATTAGCCGCAAAGTCAGTTTCGCTAAGAATTTGGGAGCGAACGAATAAATATGTTTGCATAATGTAAATAAAGGTAAGAGGTCCTGTTGTTTTTTACTGATTTCAGATTTGGAGAGGTGCAGTTAATGCGGCAGATGATGAAGTGCACATTTGATAAATGTTTATTAGGAATTGTGTTCAATTACTTTAAAGGTTCTATTTTTGAAATCGTAAAAAGGAAAGCTGGCAATTGATTTCATGTTGTTGTGGCCACATTGACCATACATCATGATTAAAGAACAATCTTTAAATTTGTAATCGACTGGCTTTAAAATGCATTCTTTATTTCTCATGCAATAAAAAACTCGCTGTATTGTATACGTATAAGGTGGGTTTTTATTTTTATGACAGTCCCCGGAACGAAGTCCCCCAGCATTTTTACAACCTCGAACCATCCTTCCTTGTTGGGAATTACGCTTTCATTTGTATGCAGGGATGCGGTGCCCTTCTATGCGATTCTCATAATTACATTAAGCATATTAAAGCTCGTCCGACGTCTGAGTCGGTACCTCCTTTACATATCTCCCTCCGCGGCGCACAATTCGCGGCTTTCCCTTTGCTCAGGGCCAACTAATAACGTGTCATAAAAGATTTTCCGTGCTTTAAGTAGGTGGTGGTTGTGGGCGGGGCTTGTGGCATTCGGCGAAGCACCTTGAAACCCCAGGAAAGGTTTGGGTAACATGATATTACTTCTATGAGGGGTAATACTGATAGGGGGCTTACGCTAATTCCTTGACTTTTCGCCGGGCGATAAATGCATTATTCCTAATTAATGGCAATTAATTGATTAATTCCACCCAGGGAATTATTTGCATGTGAAACATGATATGTGCAATTTAATCAATTAGTACACATTTATATTTTACAAAGAGCTTGTGAGCACATAAAACATAAGGATTCAATTTATGATTTTGGGTTTCCCTAAGATAAAAATCAGGCCCATATCAGTTATTTACATAACATCTGTTATTTTTCCAAATTTGTAGAAGCCTAACAGACTTCCCTACTTTTCGCCTTTTAAATAAATGAATGTATTTCCCTGTATTCTTACATTGTTGGGACATACGACTGTTAACTTAGTCAAGTTAAACAACCAAACTCTTTTTTTTAAGAATTTAAAATAACTACATTTTATATTTTTGAAATTAATATTATCAACCATTAAATAAACTTTTAAATAACTGACAGCCAAAATGTTTTCAAATAAATCTGACCGTTAAAAATTCGTGGGCATTCTCTCAACGAGGTCCTTTGACAGCTTCGTTGAGTTGAGAGAAAATGTCCTGCCGGAAGAGAGAAAGAGAGACAGAGAGTGCAAAACCCGAGTGGCGACGAAGCAATATCCTTTTTGGGGCGATGCTGGCGACGATGACGAGAAAAATCAGCAGTTTCATTGATAACGCGCAACGAATTGGATCTCAGACAAACACCGGCAAGCTGCACTGTCAGAAAAGTCGTGGGAAAAGCTGCAAAATCCAAACAACAAAAAAAAAACAAATTACCCAAACAGTATTTACTTTACGATGCTACCTATAAGTGTGTTGTTTTTGGCGTATGAGTGATGCTCGGACTCAAGTAATTCCTCGAAATACTTCCGCTTCCATCGTTCGTTCCCTCGATTCGTCGTTTGGTTTCCGCAGCGCGTGTGTTTAATTATATAGCCGCAGGCAGGGGTTTATGCCATAACAACGAGTCTTGCAAATTAAATTAATTTCGTGCAATCTGCATGTTGGCAACAACTTTGTTCTCTCCCTCCAATTAGTGTGAAGCGATAGAGACATAATTAAAAACTTCCTGCAGGCTGACTTCAACAGCATTACATTTTAAATCAGTAAATACACAGCAACGTAAGTTATTTTTGCTTGCTATATACAGACAAAACTTATGCACTCTCTTTAAAAATATCATCAAATATTAAAGGATACTTTCCCCGTGCTTACACCATTTCAATTAAGTTTACATCAAATTTTAATTAAACCGGGAGCACCCACAAAATGGCCACTAATTAGTTTGGCCTGCCCCTGACCATTGGCCCATAAGACTGTCCATGACCTTTGCATGGTAAACGTAAAATGAAAAACAAAACAAAAATTCCTAGCGTTTCTTGTGTAGACCAGAGAAAAAAAAAACAAAACAGGCAAAATAAGGGAATCGACCCAATTAAACTTTAGACGAAGAGAGCGAAACGCATCAGATTTTTGTTTTCTGGGTTTTTCATTTTAAGCGCCGACATTTTCATTCCAACCTTTTCAGCAATTTTTTGCGACCCCTGCTGATTTATCTAAATACGTAGGGGGAACGACTGTAACACCTCCCACCCATATTTTATCTTGTTTTCCAGCTCGGAACGAAGTTCCTGGTCGACTTCATAGGGAATGGGGAATGGGGGGCTTGTACAGTGGTCGCCTGTCGTCCAGTTGGCGTCACATAAATTTATATATATATTTTCCACCAGCTTCCCGCCTCGGGGGCTGACAGTGACTTAATGAGCTGCGGAAGTTAATGTGCAACTTGGCTCAGACTTGTTTCCATTTTTGTTGGCAAATTTATTTGCATATTTGGGTTAATTCCGTTTCTCTGTATTTTTTTCGCTGCCCATGACTAGCATTATTTTTAGCTCTCGCTTTTGTTATTTACCCTGCTGTTCTTCTGACCCACTTTTGGCCTAATTAACCATTATATGCCCAGTCCAAGGCATTCCAGCCAGATTGCATAAGGGAGAACCCAGACAAAATGAATTTAAGATCTGTTTTAAGTGTACATTTATTATTATTGTCGTAAACATTTTTATCAATCGCCAATCTGTAATGGTACTAGTTGGTAAAGATTGCAAAAAAAGGGGTATTTAACATATTTACTGGTTCCCTTGGGTAAATAATGTGTTTTTGCCGGTATTTCCAGAAGAGTCTTCAGTAAAATGGAATTAGGATTAGGTTATTTATGATTTTCTAAAATATTTGAATTAATCTTACCAGAATGTTGAAGTCCTCACGTTTGAAAGTTCTCAAGGAGTATAGAACGAATGTCGCAGAAGAATCCAATCCAAGAATAGGTATACGTGTGTTAACTGCCTCTGCAAAATACTAGATCAATGTCTTTGAACACGAATTTCTATTAAACACTTACCAAAAGCGAGATTATCCAAGAGTATTCTAAATATTCTTACCAGAGCCATGTGAAGAAAATCTGAAGATCAACAGGGAGGAGAGATCTTCGAAAACACATTAATCACAGAAGGCACAAGGTAAAGGCTTACTTACTTTAGTGTAATTTTACAAAAGCATACAAAGGTCACGCCAGACGTGGACCCCTTCTCGATCCCCATTTAAATGCTTAAGCGCCTCTGAAATATTTAAAAACAAAATCATAAAAATTGTAAATTAACCGCTTACCAAAAACTAGAGTATCTAACAAGGTAGCATACATATGTTGACTTATCATCGTATATCCTGGCCAGTGCTGAGTCGAGCCATTAACTGTATTCGTAACCTAACGTGTAGTGTAAGTTTTATACTTAAAATCTATTTCACTTTATGCTTAAAACTAGCCGAAACGTTTTAATTTTGATTAAAAAACATTAAAAAACACTGGGAATTTAGAGCTTAGTACCAGAGGAGTTTCTTGATCGAGCTCTAGGATTAAACTGAATAATATAGGCCATGTTCAAAGTCAGGTAGAAGTTCAGTTGACGGCAAAAAGTACACGCCTACTTGTATCATTTATTTGAAACAAGTTGAACCTGAGTGCTTTACTCCATTCCCCACAGACAGAATCCTTCAATCGAGAAATCGGAATGCTTCCAGGAACTGTTGACTTTTGTGGCCCACAATGGACAACCCACGCGTTTGCCATACGAGAAGAAGAGAGGAATGTGTAAATACATATAATCAATAGCACAGAAATTTTTTTGTGCAAACACGTTCGTTGTTCCTTAGCCAATTTTCTTTTATTTCCACAGCACTTTTTTTTCCTGCAGCTGCCTTTCATCTTATTTTGGCCGTAAGGGCGGTGGGAAAAAACTCTTTAATGAAAGCCAGCGACACAATCGACTGTCTAGCAAATCTTTTGGGAAAATTATTCTGCACAAGTCTGCGAAGCCGAAAAGTCTTGGCCCCCAACTCGATCCCCATTTGTATGCTCAAGTTCATTAGCGTCAGTTGGCAAATATTTACCAGAGCTGGCAATTTCTGCTTCGCTTTTTGCTTCGGCTTTTGGCTGCAAGCAGCAAACATCATTAAATTTAATTTGTTGCCAATATTGAACTTACTTATGCTTGTGTGTACGGAATAAATAAAAATAGAAAAGAAATAACCAGATGCAGAAGGGGACAAAGAACGTCTGCCTCGTAAAACTCACAAGACGAGATTAAAAGAAACCAGCTTAAGTTTATTAGCCAACTAAAACCGAAGAATTAGGAAAAATAAAATTAAGCATACCTAAGTTACATTTTTAAACATTCTCTCTATTTAATTAAATATTTTGTGTTGCTCATTAATTGAAGAATACTCATAGTTCGTTCATAGAAAATATACAAATTATACAATAATTCGTTAACGATTTTCAAGATATGAGAGGTCTTCTTTTGTGGGGCAAACGCAGGGCTCCAGTGGGCCAAAAATCAATTCCAACGACTTTTTGGCGTGAAAGAGGATATATAGCATCTCAGTATTCTTGAATATGGCGCTTGGCAAAATCTGATCTCCATTTGGGTGGTGCCAGTTCTTCATTTCATGAAATACACGCTTGAGGAAATTATTTCTCTTGTTGTCCTTCTCTTTTTCAATTTGAATACCTATTTAATAAAAATACAAAAATTTAATAGTCCTTGTTATAGTATAAGATTCAGCTTACGGTTTTCCTCGGCCAAGAGGGCAGCTTTCTGCTCGAGCTGAGCTGCTCCTGGCATATCTATCTTTCGTTGGCCTGCCAGGAACTTGTGAATCAATTCAAAATGCTCCGGATTAGTTACACTCAGATTCATTATGGAAAAATTCCGATTCTCGCAGTACCCCTGGTCGTTAAAGCCAGGGTATGGTATATCGGTGAAAATTGATGCCGCCTTGAAAATCTTCCGAGCCTGTTCCACCTGCGCCAAGGACTTGTTCATTCTGTAGCAGGCTTGCGAATTGTAGTAACGATAACCGAAGGTCGCCATCAGTTGATCCAGTGTTTTCAAACACATTCTACAAAAAAAGAGATGTTTTAGATGTTATTATAATATCTTTCGAAAACTATAACTTACTGCGAGTCTCGAATCGTGTAAACACCTGGCAGCTCGTTATTTTTCTTGGACGAGTGAAGGTACTTGACCAGGGAGTGAACGAGCTCCTTAGCCAGATTAGTCTGTACGGTTTTGAGCATTGTGAGATCGAAGACGTGATTTCGCGACCACCAGCCGCGGTAGTATGATTGTATAATTTTGGCGGCCCTATCGTAATGGGTCACAATAGCCAACTGTAGGGCTCTTTCGGCCACATTTTTTAGATTTCTCAGCGCCGCGTAACGTCGCCACCATTTCTGAATCACAATTGACGACAACTCCATTTTTTCAGATGGCAACGCGCTAGCCAACCGCGACAATAGCGCTGAATCGTGCGAGCTGCCTTAAATTGTTTGTAGTCCAAAACAAGGCTTTGTACGCTATTAGGTATTAATTAATTTCTAAGATTTTCTGTGGCCTTAGTTTTTCCTTAAACTTACCGCGTTAAATTAGTGGTAAGGCTTACTCGGCTCTCTCTCCCGCTGCTTTCTTCAAAGCTCTCAAATTGGACTTCTACAAGGTTTTCCGACAAAGTACTCGGCTCCCTTGACCAAAGAAATAATTTAAACTTGGGCTTACTGAATGAGCAAACAAATCTTACATTGAGAGCAAGTTAGAACTCTTTGTTGTCTTCGGCATTTCGTATGTATAGAGCGTGAGTATAGATCCCGATAAAAATGTATTACTAAGCAGTGTAAAGCAAGACTGAAGAAAGGTTACTGGGAATCGTTGGCAACATAGAGTGTCACAATACAAAGTTTAAAGTCAAGGCTAAGCTGTTAGCGATTCCGTAAAAATGGAAGTGGAGATAGTTGGCCTTGAAATTATAGCTTAAAAATGTTCACCCAAGAAAATAAACGAACGAATGACAATATTAAAACCCATAGAAAATGACAAACCACCCAAAATACAAAAAAAATAAATTCAGCCAAAGATGCACTTTATTAATTTAAAAACGCCAAATGTTTCTTTGATTCTGACGTTTTTGATACCAGCCAAACATTTCACACAGAATTTTACAATCATGTTCGTTTTGTAGTGTTATATCCAAGAAGTATTTGATTCGGCCATGCAGTACTGTGGGCACACACACACAAGTACTTGCTATAAAAAAGTGTAACGGTGTGTTAGTTCAGCTCCCAGCTTACCATAGAGTTATTTAATTTATCCATTCTGTAAACTTTAAAACCGTTAACGAAAAATTGAGGGAAAAAAAAATAAAATTACTCACTCAACGTAACAAATCTTACATTTTGCAAACGGACAATCACTTTTTGCTTAAGACTAGTTTTGAAAAAATAAAAGTTTTCTGTAACCTAGTCGAAGTGTTTTCACAAGATTCGGTCTGTTTACTGAAATAAGTAAAATCCTCCATCTGACAATTCATAATTAGGCTACTAACTTTGCTGAGAAAAATAGAATCAAATATTCAACAAAGTAATTTTTTCATATTTATTTTTTTCCATTTCGATTTCTCTTAATTTACAAAGACATTTTATTAAATGATATTTCATCATGCAATGCAATGATTTTATGCAACAAATTCTGTTTGTAGATCATTGCAGGTGCAAATTAAGCCTTACAATTATTTCTCTGAATGATGCCTTCAGCTAAGTAGAATGTCGCCAGTTTGATGTATTTTTAATGCCAACTCACTCGATATTCTCTTGAAAGCGCAACTTTGCCACTCCACGCGATCATTTGGCGATGCACTTGAGGGGGTTACGGGGGGTTGAGGAGGTTGAGGTGGTTCAGAGTTGTGCCGAAAAAGGCGGAAATCAAAAGTTAAAATAAACTTCGTTGTCCTTGCCGTCGACATTGCTGGCTCTTTTTGGGGAGCTCCTTATAAAGTTCCAGGATATCCGGTTGTTGTCTTCGGTGCTCATTTTTCGTCCTTATGCGGCGCCACCCTTCCCCACTTTTTCCCCCTTCTCCCCCTTTCCCCGTCGAGCACTCGTTGCTCCCCTTTGGTGGTGCTCCTTGTCTCGTTTAATGTTTCATTTATTTGTTTTCTCGTGCCGAGGCACGAAAAAGGACTCGAGGAGTGAATGGAGCAGGGACTACTGGGTATTGCATTGTACTTGGGTTCGCTGTTTTCACTATTTGACGCTTGTTTACTCATTTCCGGTTGCCGCTTGCATTGTGCTCCGTCCGGAGGACATTGCCTTGCCTTGTGGGTCCTCCTCTGTCGGTTGCAAGGACTGCAATACTTTGTAGCCACCATTACGAAAATGGTTTAACGTTGGCTCGGCAGCCAGGAAGTCCTTTCATATTTTACAAAGCACACAGCAATACCCGCGAAATGAAAGCGTTAAGGCTCCAAACCAAACTTCTTAAAAAACTACCTTCTTTTTTGTTGATTACATTTAATATAGGATATAAATAGGATAGTTTAACTAGCAATTCATTTGCTTCTTACTTAAGTGATACACTTTCTCCTCGTTGGTTGTCACTTTATTAGACCAAACACAGGGGCAAAATAAATTTTGCGCTTTAAATCGAATTGAAATCGGAATTAATTCCGATCCAAATCCGCTCTCTGCAGAGCTCAAGGCTAAACTTTATGCCGCCCATCCGTTGCCAATTCGCCTGCGGCGCACAAATAAAAACTTTGTCGGTGCGGTTTGCGCTTCTAATTTGCCCCAAGGCAAAGGCAATCAATCAATATTCATCAAAATGCTATTTAATTTGAATGCAACCGCCTTGCGAGTTGACGCCGTCACGTCCTCGTCACTCGTCCTTCGTCCTTCAATCTTCGTCCTTCGAAGGAGTGGCACCACATCAGACAAGGAGGCACGCAACTTTCATTACTCGCCGAACTTGGCGACAACGCGAACTTTGAAGTGTGGCAGTCGACTTTGGGGGCAAGGTTTGTGCAACATCGGTGGGGGGGAATATGGGGGGACTTGGGCTGAAGTGCCACAGCAAACTAACGAACGTTCGGCAGCTCCACGTTTCAGCTCAAATTTCAATTTCCATCTTTGTCATCTGGGGCGAGCCATTCCGCAAATTCTTTGACTGCCTTACGGATTCTCATCCCAGGATGCTAATTGTGTCTGTCGAAAACTGCAGCCAGCTTTCCATTGAAGAAAATTCCGGACGCATTTCAATTGGCCAAGAGAGAAGACTCTTCGTTAACCTGATTTCGGCGAACAAACAAGGGTGGCAAACGCAGAGGTAAACATTTCCCAAACTGCATTTGTATGGCCCACACACATAACGAGGAAATAAAACATCAATTGCTAGCCCTTTTTTCGGCAGCATTCTTTATTGGTTCGTTGATGAGCTAAAGGAAAAAGGGTCAGACGGGTTCTGACTCCCAAATTGGCAGCTGTAAATTCGAAGTTGCCCCAGACAAGCCAAATAGGTAGGATTACGTGTTTTGAACAGGGGCGGGCATTAAGTTTGGGATCTTAAGAAGGAGTAAAGGTAAAACAAATTCAATCAAAATTTAAGGTGAGCTAAAAATAATGAAATAAGAAGCTTGTTCGAATTTAAAGTTGTGTAAAAGTATTTTACCGGCTATTTAACCTGTTCTAAAAAAATGACAACCTTAATGGGTACTTAGAAACTTTAGCTGCATATTAAAACAAGATCTTTAATATTTATCTGAGCACGAAATTAAAGCAGAATGTTTAAAGTAGATACGTTATTACAGAATCCCAGACAAGTATATATCTTATTAGCTGCACAGACGTACTTACACCAACAACGTTCTCGGCAAAAAAATAATTTAAAAGACCACAAAAAGCTTGTCCTTGTGTGGAAAGTTAAGACCACTTAATGCACGCCAAACGCAGTTTACATGCGTATGTATTTCAGTGCTCGCTGACTATACTATACTATATATGTATATAGCACAGTACAGTGGCTCATAAATACGCTCGCATATAGAGCCACTAACACTCACATTCAAACGCACACAAACACACACACACACACAGCAGCAGGACCAACAAGGACAACGACACATGTTTTGGGTTTTTGGCCTCTGAGCCTGCTTGAAGGCATCATTCAGAAGCCCTCCTTGTGTATGCGGTGTTAATAATGCCTTTGATGTGTGTTAAAGACAGATTCAGACTACGACAAGCCAAGTACATGGCCGAGCGAAGCCAGTTTCGTGTCCATTGTTGTTCTCCTCGATCTGACTGCCGCAGATGCTGCTGAAGTCTGCAAAAATGGTGCCAAATGTAAACGCAATTTGTTGGCAAACAGAAATTTGGGAAAGCTTTTGCCAAAACTCGAGCTAAGTGCACTAGTGGCGTCATAAATTGATTTGTTTGTGGCCTTAGGTTAATTTTTTTTGTTTTCCGGTTCGATGCAACTTGGTTTATTCAGGCAAAAGTATTCAACTTTAGTTTTTTATATAAAATATTCAATACTGCACATTAAAAAAGTACCCATTTTTTGAACCGCGATCAATAAATTGAAAGCAAGTTTCATAGAATCGGTAAATGAGCCAACGACCCTGATAAAGCCATTAAATATTATATAGACCTTCTACAATTCGCACATAAATAAAATAGTATTCGCGCATTACGCATACGCAGCGTTGACCAATTTTTTTATGGCCAAGCAGGCAGTCGGTCTCAGTTGGTCAGGTGGGCCGTTGGGCAGTTGGTCTACCTTTAATGGTCCGTCGCCACTTTGCTGCGAAAAGTGGGACAAGAGGAAAAGTAAGTCTATTAACGGCAATGACAAAGCACGCGAAAAGCTAATAGAGAGACAGCCTCGAATGAGGGAAATAAGCCGCCAGGGGGGTGGTTAAGTAGTTTGGCAAGTCTATAAAAATGTATTAACTGCCGCCGGGAAGGGGAGGCGAAAATAAAGTCATAAAGCCAAGTGGTAAGCGAAGGGGCAGCTGGGGGAATCGAGGTGTGGCAAAGCAACTTCCAGACACAATGGCCGTAATATGATAATCATTGCGTAGGCCCACACGCTCGCTTTCAGGGGCGTGTGAAAAGTGGGCAAATGATGCAAAACAGACGGGATCGGAGAAAGGGGAAAGGATAACTTCTGCCTAGGCCAACGGCAAATCCATTAAACCCTTATGATGCATGAGTACAAATAAACTGAGTGAAAGCCGACAGACAATGCGACTACCACGGGGAACTCAGAAGGTCGAAGAGAGAAAAAAACAACAAAAAACAAAGAAAAAGGAGGAAAATCGTTGGAGAACAAAAACATCTGGGCGCAAAAAAAGGGCGTGTCAAAACATATGCGAAAAAAAGAGCAGTAACCGCAAACCGAAGCGGTAACGGCAGGGAGAAAGTGAGAGAAAGGTTCTCGGGGAGACAGCCCGCAAAGTGAGCAAACACTTGAGTCAAGTGGTTAGCTGGTTAAAGGGCTCCTGCCGCCAAAAGAGTTTCTGAGTGTGAGTGTGTGTGTGTGTGTGTGTGTGTGTTAGAGTAAGGACGTAAGTGGGTGACAGTGTGGGTGTGGGCGAAAGTTCAGTCAAGTGCAACGCCAAATAGGCCCAGAGGTTCTTCGCTCTCTGCTGAAATTATAAACAGATGTTGGAGGGCAGATTAGGTGGATCACGACGGAGCAAGTGGGTAAGTGGGCCAAGTGGCTCCAAGCCGAGATAAGCCGATGAGCACATAAGACTCATTTTATCTGTCAGCTAGATATAAATTAAAACAGATAAATTGACGTAATCAAGTCATATTACTCACAAAGTCCTTACAGGATATTCTTTCTGCCATGAAGATATGTAAGTTTCTTTTTTTTTAGTGGCTAATTCTAATTTGTCTAATTCCAAAAATACAACTGGCATAAAAGGTAAGCCACAATTGAAATCACTCCTATACAACTTAATTCATTAACAATTTTATTAGTTCAGTGTCCAATTTAAATTTGACAGGCACACAAATTGTGTGTGTTAAATCAAATAAATTAATTGCTATTAAACCGCAACGAACACTTTTATTGTGCACACATAATTCGGATAAACGATTCTGTTTCAATTACATTATTTACAGATGAGGTACCTCAAATGTAAGCTAGTTAACACGGATTATTTTTAAGTTGCCTTATAAATATTAAATAGAGTTTCGTCTTTGGTACTGTTAATATAAAACTTAAATTATTTAAACCCTGTTTCTGTAAACTGGATATAACTCATCGAAAAATCTTTAAGTTGCTGAAAGTGCAACCCATTTCTGTTACAACTCTTTCAACTCTTGCTTTCACTGTCTGTATTTTGGGGAACAGCTCCTGCTCACTGGCTTATCTCATATCCTTGCGCGCAGGTACAGAATTTCAATATAGGAGCTACGAAAAAATAAGGACAAATAAGCGGGCCGTTACTGCGGCTCAGATTTCAATAGCTGAGTGCATTTTTAACATTTTCTACAATGCCACCCCT